CTGGCCCAGAACCCGCTCGTTACTTCCTACTCTCGCCTAATAGCTATCATCGCCTTCGGCGATGGGCTTTCCAAAGGTCCAAAGGTGTGTGTCCGTGCTTGCATGTGCTTGTGTGTTTGTGTGTGTGTTCAGGTGTAACAATAGAGATTTTGCAGAATCTCCGTCGCCATGGTGTCTTTAGGACTTGTGGCTGTGCTTTTTTTTTTTTTTATTTACTTGAAAAAGCACATAACCACCAGGAAAGCTGACAAAGAAAAAAGAGTAAGAAAAGACAGATAAAAAGAGAGCTGAGAGAGAGAGAGAGATTATCGGCGTGAGTGCACTTGCCACTGGAGCTGCTGGTTATAGTGCAGGCGCTCCCCAAACTCAATGTGGACTTATGCGTCCTACTCACCAACAGACGAATCGACCAAACGAGAACGGCAATTTCCTGGTCACACACAACATTCCCTCACCATATGTGCCAGGCGAAACGTATCAAGGTATGCTAGAACTTGGAGACATCATGGTTTTTACAGCAAGTACATGTATGTTTCCAACTAACACTTTCCATGGGCTACATCTAACACCCGATCTTTGCCACTGCGGCAAGTGGAGTTCTGGTACTAGTAGAGTAATGGTCACGAAACACACCTGGCACGCTCTCTACATGTACAGGGCCTGTGCTTTCGCCCATGGGTGATCACATGGTCACATGAAGGGGGACTAGAGAACGGAGCAAGAGGGTTCACGTGGTGGCAACTGGACGCATACACAGGTAGTGTGTGCTGTCCCGGGTGGGCGCTTTTACGGGCTTTTACACGAGATGATTTCCCCCGGCGAATTGAGGTTTGAATTGTCAGGATTATAAATGTAGTGAAATGTTGAAGGGGAAGTTAAAGGGGAAGTATACCCTAAAATCAAATTTTCACCAGTTGTAGTCTTCTGGGTGCTGAGTCGAATGGTCTTGGTCCGAGGAAGCTGCGACGCTCCCTTCCTACTTGAATCCCAATCGAACTCGCGCACTTCCACCGAAACTGGGTGACTGCGCCCTACTAGATGGGGATTTGTATGCAAAATGTCACTAAAAGCGCCATTTCGTTCTTATAAAAGCACGGATGACCGCGATTGGCCCATATGTTGTAGTCTTTTGGACGCCGAGTCGACTGGTTTTGGTCCGAAAAGGCTGCGATGCAGCGTTCATCCTTTATTCCCAATCGAACATGGTTGAACAAGCGGTCACGTGCTCCTGGGTGCCCAAATCACCTGGTCACCGCGCCAGCAGGCGACAACTTTCACACCAAGGTTCAACTCGAGTTCAACTCGAGTGACAGGACTGCACCCAAAAAAGGTCAAACAGGCTAGTAAGTTGTACCCTGCAGGCACGGTGACCAGGTGACTGGTGTACGCAGGAGCACGTGACCGCTTGTTCAACTATGTTCGATTGGGAATAAACGAGGAACGCTGCATCGCAGCCTTTTCGGACCAAAACCAGTCGACTCAGCGTCCAAAAGACTACAACATATGGGCCAATCGCGGTCATCCGTGCTTTTATAAGAACGAAATGGCGCTTTTAGTGACATTTTGCATACAAATCCCCATCTAGTAGGGCGCAGTCACCCAGTTTCGGTGGAAGTGCGCGAGTTCGATTGGGATTCAAGTAGGAAGGGAGCGCCTCAGCTTCCTCGGACCAAGACCATTCGACTCAGCACCCCGAAGACTACAACTGGTGAAAATTTGATTTTAGGGTATACTTCCCCTTTAAGGCTAAAATCAAAATTTCACCAGTTGTAGTCTTCGGGGTGCTTAGTCGAATGGTCGTGGTCCGAGGAAGCTGAGACGCTCCCTTCCTACTTTAATCCCAATCGAACTCGCGTACTTCCACCGAAACTGGGTGACTGCGCCCTACTAGATGGGGATTTGCATACAAAATGTCACTAAAAGCGCCATGTCGTTCTTATAAAAGCACGGATGACCGCGATTGGCCCATATGTTGAAGTCGTTTGGACGCTGAGTCGACTGGCTTTGGTCCGAAAAGACTGCGATGCAGCGTTCCTCCTTTATTCCCAATCGAACATGGTTGAACAAGCGGTCACGTGCTCCTGCGTACACCAGTCACCTGGTCACCGTGCCTACAGGGTACACCGTACTAGCCTGTTTGACCTTTTTTGGGTGCAGTTCTGTCACTCGAGTTGAACCTTGGTGTGAAAGTTGTCGCCTGCTGGCGTGGTGACCAGGTGATTTGGGCATCCAGGAGCCCACGTGACCGCTTGTTCAACCATGTTCGATTGGGAATAAAGGAGGAACGCTGCATCGCGGCCTTTTCGGACCAAAACCAGTCGACTCAGCGTCAAAAAGACTACAACATATGGGCCAATCGCGGTCATCCGTGCTTTTATAAGAACGAAATGGCGCTTTTAGTGACATTTTGCATACAAATCCCCATCTAGTAGGGCGCAGTCACCCAGTTTCGGTGGAAGTGCGCGAGTTCGATTGGGATTCAAGTAGGAAGGGAGCGTCTCAGCTTTCTCGGACCAAGACCATTCGACTCAGCACCCCGAAGACTACAACTGGTGAAATTTTGATTTTAGCCTTAACTTCCCCTTTAAAGAGGCGGTACTGCTGTTGTCCTTTTGACCTCTGCGTGGTCTAAGCGCCCCATTTGTCTGCTGTGTTTACGTCCGAGTTGCGCCTCGATTTGCGTGCACTGGTGCGAACGGGGTGGGGTGTGCTGCTGCACTCGAGCTTTTCTTGCTGGTACTCTTTGGTCCTTGCACTGTGACTCTCGTTGTCTTTTCTCTCTTTATCTTTTTTTCCCCGTTGTCTTCGTTCTTGAATTCTTCTTCCCAACACCAAATAACTGTTCCTCTGTGTGCGGGTTGGGAGAGCAGTCTTCGTGTACAGTAATGTTTGTGGAACTATGAATATCAAGGCGTAGAAACAGTCATGCTAGGAATCCCTACGATATACTGTACCGTGATCTGCATTAATTTTTATTTATTTATTATTTATGCACTTGAAGTATGTGTATATTAAATTTTGTGCACTGTTGACTACGCTTCTGCTGCTGTTGTTGTTGCTGCTCACCTTATGCAGTGACGGTGTCGTCCAATCCCCCAACTAACTTCCGCGGCTTTTTATGTGAAGTGCGCAATGCAACGGTGGCACGAGACGCAAGCGGAGATGGCGTGGGCCTGTTCTCGTCTACCACATTCGGTCTGCTCAGTTGCGGAAGTCCGAATGTGAGTTCTTTAAAATTAAAATAATCTGGTTGTGCTGGTTTTAGTAGGGTGTTGTTCATGCTGATCAACACTGCGGTGGGCTGTAGTCATCAGATCTCGGTCCCGACTCGAGGTTGCCTGGCAGAGTGACTTTTTGTCTCTGGTGAGGTGATCGTGTTCCTACCCGGCTTTCTCTCCAAAACTGTGTGCTCAGTGCTGAGGTTGCATGGGATTTTTACAACTGCTGGTAGAGTTCAAGGTGAGTACACTGTTCAGGCTTCGGATTCTTTCGAAACATGGATACAGGGCCACAGCAGCCGTTTCGAACAGTCCAGCCATGGTCGGACCTTGCTTCGAAAAAGTAATTGACCCACCCAGTCCATGCAAAGCGGGGTTTTCGTAAATTATGTTCATTCCAGTCAAGTGTCCCTTTTGTCTGGATCACCTGAAATCCCGTTGCTATGGCCCTGAGATCTAGTGTACAGTACTGCACTGCGTGCACAGAGATTGCTTGGTGGGAGACACATGAGAGGCACAACACTAGGCAACACTAGCCATCACTATAGTTAGCGGCTGATTTTTGTAATTTTTTTAATCTTTACTAAAAGCCATGTGGTGCACGCAATGGGAACATGCAGCATGGTGGTGGTGGGGACCAGGCGCTCCGTCGACCAACTGGTCTTGACATAGTCATGCTCTAGACGCACCAGATAAATGGAAGTGTGAGGGAAAGAGAAAAAAGAGGGGGAGCGGGAGGGAAGGGAGGGGGTGGGGTGGGGTAGATAGATAGCAGCAGGGGGGGGGGGGGGGGCGAATGCACCAACTATTGGGAGCCGCCCCAAGCCCCGCAAAGGCCCCCAGTCCTTGTTCAGCTCTTCGAGCAGAAATCTCAAGCCAAATGGTCCTTGCGTACATAAAGAATACTCTAGCCCTTGCAAATCTGCAATTTTCATTGTCGAACACAGCATCTTAAAATTCTTTTTTAACCTAGCACAGCGCCAGTAGTTCTTTGGCCGATTATGTGAAGGGTGGGACATAGTAATATCTCACATCCAACATATCGGAGTTAGAAAAGGAAGAAAAAGATCAAAGCCAGCGCAAAAACCCGCAGCAGCAGCAAAACGCAAACTGTCTGACAAACGCACACAGGTACAGTCGTCGCCAAAAAAATCCGGCCATTGCCATGGATACATGTCCTGTGGCATGGTGCCTGTCCCATGCATGCATTTACAGTAGAGGGTCCGCGCTGCACTCTGCCTGCATGCTGCAGTCGAGTCGAGCACAGCACAGACTGTGCATGCACTGCAGTGCAGAGACCGAGTGCAGCCGGCCTGGCAGCAGAGCATGTGCCGTGCACTAGGCTACTACACCAGTGCATGGTACACCGGCACTAGCAGCACTAGCAGCACTAGCAGCACTAGCAGCACTAGCAGCACTAGCAGCACTACCAGCACTACCAGCACTAGCAGCACTAGCAGGACTAGCAGGACTAGCAGGACTAGCAGCACTAGCAGCACTAGCAGGACTAGCAGGACTAGCAGCACTAGCAGCACTAGCAGCACTAGCAGCGACATGGCAGTGCATGCGGCGTGGCCACGTACAGCTACTGGAAGCTAACAAAGCATGGCCGGATTTTGTTGGCCACGACTGTAGATGCCAGACCAAGATTCCGCAGTAAAAGTACGGACAGAAGGCACATGCACAGGCAGGCAACCAGAGACAGGACAAAAGAGCTAGATACAAAGACAGAGTCATAAAAGGAAAACCTGCACACAAGTGCCCGAGAATAGATACAGGCACAGACAGCCAGATATAGAAACAAGAGGCAACGTGCACCACAGACACAGTTGGAGGGAAATATGTACTCAACCACTCAGTGAATGTGAAAAATGCAGGTGCCGGTAAGTGCAACAACAGGGGACAAATGCATACAGCCGCTCAGTGCGGATGTGACAATACAATGTACTGCGGAAAACTGATGAATGTGCACAAGAGTCCAAGGTGAAGACGAAGGTTGAGCTAAGCTTGAATGAGTCAGTCCTTACTTACATAGAAAACGATTACCAATCGAAGTCGCCATTGTTCACCACCTACTGTGCGGGGCCATGTAGTTGCAGCATCCTTGTATCCAGCTGGTCCACGACAACTTCCACGGCCGAAAGCCTCGCTTCTATTCCTTCCATTCGATTTTCTACCTGCGTAAGCCTCTCTTCCAGTCGATTTTCCACCTGCGTAAGCCTCTCTTGAATCTTTCCTACTGCTGCTTTGATTTCTCCTGACAAGCTTTCAATTTTATTGAGCAGCGCTCCCTCCATCCTGCAAAGTGGCAAAGTAGGACATGAAAAATAGCTTAATATTTCCGAGAGACGGGTGTTGGGGGTTTCATCCGCCAGCTGGAGAGGTTTGGGCATAATTGCGTTTTAAGGGGCTCGTCGGTGGGAGGAAGCAGAGCTTGTACAGGAAGCTCAGGGCCGCCACCCTGCGCCTATGCTCAGGAAGCTCAGGGCCGCCACCCTGCGCCTATGCTCCAGGCTTTGGTACGGAGACTCCAGGGCCTATCAACTTGCTACGCATATTCTCCTTGCATGTTGGCATCTCACACCTGGTCTTCCTCATCGCCAATTTCTCCTGGCGAGATGCACTAAAATAGAAATAAATAAAACACGCTTTGAAAGCTAAATGTTCGACATGAAATTGCCGGTCAAGATGGCATAGCGACTAGGACCAGAACGAAAGCATGTTCTTAACTTTAAAATTGATCAAGTAAGCAAGCTCGGGCCTGGTTTTTAAATCTGGCCTT